TCGATGTCGAAAGAGTTTTGGAATTTCTGGTCGATCGGGACCTAAAATCATCAAAAGTATGAAGATTACTTTAAAATCACATGTTCATTCCTGACGCAGAACATCGGCTTGTTGCGCAGCGTTCGGACCATGTCGTGCAAATTCTTGTAGAAACCCTTCTGGGTTCCGATTTGGACGATAGCGCCCGGTTTGTGGCGGTCGAAGAGGTGTTGCCGAGATCCGTGGATGTCGGCCGAGGGCTTGATGCTAAAACAATCATTGTTTTTATTGATTGCTTTTTCATTGGTTTTCTTTTCCTTCAAGCTACCCCCTAAGAAGCGAGGCTTAAAGGGAATTGACGGAAAAATCAACCCGCTAACAGAGACGAGGTTTAGATCGTTACGCGGCACCCCAAATTACGCTCCGGATTTCGGTTTAACGGTGTGACCAGTTGTAATCCGGACTTTAAGGACGTGGTAAGCGCGAGAATCTATCACTACCAGCAACTAGGTCTAGTCAGCTACGCGCCACGCTAAGCTACGCGTAAAGATTTGCTTTTCGAATGCCTGTGACAGTCAAACTGGCCTTAACGGAGCTGGAAAGCGTTAAAATCAACCATCGGCTAGGTCCTGGCCTTTTCTGCTAACCGTTTTTTGGTAGTCGATAGGTACACCGATACCTTTGAAAATCCTTTACAGTTCGACTCCACCTAGTCTATTTAAGGGTGTCGATTCTAAAACTTCTTATTACTTTAAATGCCCTATTTAATATTTTTTTCTGGTTGTCTTCTTGTGGTTTGTAGCTTGATTTCCCCATTCCAGACTTACTTGAAAATATAGGGGTAGACCTGGGCGCCGACAAATGTTTCCTTGGCTGCCGCTTCCAACTTGCCAATTAGCCCGCTACGATCTTGAACAAAACAACATTAAAAATCTGTAGTCTCGCACCTGAGATCAACGATTCGGCATCATAGTTGCGGATGTAGAGATCGAGGACCTGGGTGGTGGCGGAGCTGTATTTTGCTGTAAATTGGAAGGGAATTTTTGCTATAAGCTAAAGGACAGAAAACTGCTGATTGCTTTAACGCTAATACTGAATTAAACTATGAAGGGGAATAAAAGAAATATAATGTAACATAGTGCAAAAATAAATATAATTCGATATAAATAACTTACAGTCCTCTGTCAAGTTAATCACAATAAATTGCTGCTTGATCTCATCGGAATGTAAGCTTTTCGCGATCACGTGAATGGTCATCTGCCGTAGCGGCGTCACTGGTGTACTGAAATTAGCATCGTTAAAGAGCCAAAACGACTCCAATTTTCCAAAATAACCTTTGCTAATCTGCCACTCACCCTATCAAATAAGCCAGAGCTTCGTGTCGTTGTGAAGGGACGAGATGCAACCATTGTGGTAGGCTGGGACGGCCTTTCATGGTGGCTGACCATTTGACGGGAACTAAAGGGGAATTTTATATAAATTATCGTTAAATACTAATCATTATATAACATTAATTTAATTTTAGAGTGTCCAACTCACCTGTAGTTTTAAAAAAGCTTGCCGAATGGAGGGCGTGCACGAAAAATTTGCCCTTTTTGCCTTGCGATTGGCGGGTTTCGATTTGGGAATAGGCCAATAGAAAAATCGAGCAGAGAATTAACAGTCGTAATCGCATCTAAAAATGGATTGAAAATTTGCGAAAAACGCTAGAAAAGTGACAAACGCAATGAAAAAAGTGTGCGAAATGCTGAAACTTGAGAAACTAAAATCCTAACACTCTCTCTCTCTCTCTCTCTTTCTCTGGCGGACTGTCGATCTCTCGCAATCTCTTTCTCTCTCGATCTCGGTCTCCCTTCCAGACTTACCAAAAAAATCCAAAAATATCCTGAATTGTCACCGGCCAGTCAATTTCTTGCTTCATCTCATGTTCATTCTCTCATGCTCCCGCAAACTAACTGCCCGACTAACTAACTAACCGCAAAACAATAATAGAACAAATAATAGAAGTAAACAAAAAGAAAGACTAAATAAGGTCGGCAATATACCAGAAAGGCCTGGAAATTCATGCCCCGTAAAATATCCAGCCGACAGAGCGTGCCCCTAGCCAAGGATGAGCCGTTATGATTGGCATTAGTTGGGGTTTGGAAGTGAGAGTCGAGCAAAGTGGGGCCGAGAGAGGGCCAAGGTTAGGGCCAAGCCGCCGGGGGGCTTTACACCACATTCCCCTGGACTCCTTTGGACGTCTCTGGACAGACCGAGACAGTGGGGGTCCTCGTAGCCCCGGGGGTTTGTTGTGGGCAGGGGTCACACAAATGCCCCCAGCCGGATAGTGGTAGTGTTGGTGGTGCCAACCCGGCTGTTCGTTCGGTCATTTGGGATGTGGTAGTGGTTGTGTTTTACTACAAGGGTAGCCTACACTACGATGCATAACAACGGAACGTGATATGAACATTAGGCGAATTTTCACGAGCTAGTCAACGAATGTGTTACGCCAGCTAACATCGTACGTAGGATAGAATCGGACGCATGTTTTCATGCTCAAATATCGGTGAGCTAGCAGAGATTATTGGGGATGTTGGAACTGAGGTAGCAGCTAGCAGGGCATCTTTCGCGAATCGAAACCGAGAAATCATGCTGCTAACCGACATTCTTTTCAGAAATATGTATAGAAGGGTGAGCCGACGAAGATTCTTTGACTATCAAGCATATAGTGATTTTATAATTAAAAATTATCCAATTCACGAAAATACTTCCTGAATCAATTTATTTAACTCGAGGTTTGAGCCACCCCAAATACCCATAATCACAAAATCATAAACGCTAAAAATATCTGCTGCTATGCAACAAGGTCACGGAACTTTGGTGCGCAGGATTCGTTGGCGTTTGCTAGAAAAAGAATACATAGCTTTGACAATCTGAAAAAGTATTGTACCTTTACATACAGATGACGGCAGATCGTCACCGTTGCTGCGTCGTGGCTTGAAGCCATGAATATCCTCCCATAGTCGCTCGGCGGAATTCTGAATAAGATTTGATTAAAGGCACTATAAAGTGGATAGAGCTGGATTTACTAGACCAGAAAAATCATAATAACGCGCCGTTGAAAATTTACGACCAAATACCCTGTTAATTTTGGCTTTTCAGCGATTTTAATAGAACTTTCAAATGTATTTTTCTTAATGTAAAATCGCGAAAACTTACCGAACACTCCTGCGCCTGATACTTTAAAACTTTCCCCGTCTCGTGCATCGAATTGTAAAGAAATGGCAGCTGGGAGAATATGGCAAAAACGGCAATCAGACAGACGATGGACGATGCCCGGAAAACGAGCCTGTACATTTTGATCTTCTTCTCGAGCTCGGCATGCTTGCCCACTAAAAACAAACAGAAAAACTATATAAACTTTCCTTAAAAATTCGATATTTTCAAGCATTTTTCAGAAATATAGGCAAATACAGATTACCGAAAAGTCCTGTTAGGAACCTTTTAGAGACAAGCGCTTACTTTTATGAGGTTATCCTGTTGGTTCTAGCAAAATTTTAGGTGCCAATAAAAAATTGTAGGTACGAGACAGCGTGTCGTCCAGCGGTGAAAGTGTCACCCCAGGTATGGCAGATTGCGGGTTTTTTAGTGGTCGAGCTCCCGGGAAAGTGAGATGGACAGTCTCCGAGGCTGATGCTCAAGACAACGACCGCCCGCGACACATCAATAGCAGGATGAGAGAATGTCAGGCAAGAGAGCGAGAGAGAGAGAGGAAGAGAGAGAGACAGACAGAGAACGATAGCTGCCGTGCCCCCACATGGCAGCCGAGAACCGGTTCCCCGCTGGCATTTTGGCTTGGCAAAATGGCGACAAGATCGGCGTTCCCGGCTTGGGGCTTGAAATGGCTGAGGAGACGCTGTGTACACTGCACTTTTTTCGAAGACAAACATGAGCACGATGCTGTTTTTTGAAAGGACTCGGAAGGCAAAGCCTAAGCCTAAGCCTAAGCCTACGCCAAAGCCTAAGCCTAAGCCTAAGCCTAAGCCTAAGCCTAAGTCTAAGCCTAAGCCCAAGCCTAAGCCTAAGCCTAAGCCTAAGCCTAAGACCAAGCCTAAGCCTAAGCCTAAGCCTAAGCGTGAGCCTAAGCCTAAGCCTAAGCCCAAGCCTAAGCCTAAGCCTAAGCCTAAGCCTAAGCCTAAGCCTAAGACCAAGCCTAAGCCTAAGCCTAAGCCTAAGCGTGAGCCTAAGCCTAAGCCTAAGCCCAAGCCTAAGCCTAAGCCTAAGCCTAAGCCTAAGACCAAGCCTAAGCCTAAGCCTAAGCCTAAGCGTGAGCCTAAGCCTAAGCCTAAGCCCAAGCCTAAGCCTAAGCCTAAGCCTAAGACCAAGCCTAAGCCTAAGCCTAAGCCTAAGCGTGAGCCTAAGCCTAAGCCTAAGCCTAAGCCTAAGCCTAAGCCTAAGCCTAAGCCTAAGACCAAGCCTAAGCCTAAGCCTAAGCCTAAGCGTGAGCCTAAGCCTAAGCCTAAGCCCAAGCCTAAGCCTAAGCCTAAGCCTAAGCCTAAGCCTAAGCTAACTAAGCAACACTCTAATGACTTGCGAATTCAAATGCGTAAAGTCAGTGAGAATGGTGCGTACCCATTTTAAACCCTGTTTGAAAAAATGTAATTTCAGATTCAGAACACCTTAAGATCAGAAAAACGAACATGCGGTCATCTATTAGTAGCGTCTTCCGGACCTCAAAAAAATTGAGCAATCATGTAGCTCATAATCATAGGAAAATTCCTGGATTCCAAAAGCACTAGGGAGGCAAGGGATTCTGTCCAAATTGGTCAGCAGATCGCGTTATTGCAGAAAAAAACAGGACGGATCCGATACTTGTTCGTTTGAAGGATCAGATCGGGTAGGACAAAATGATATCACCAACACGGAAACCGCCGAAAAGACTTCCAAGAAACGCCCAGCCGCATTTCGCTTTATAAGGAGCCCGATAACCCAATTTGTAAACCGACTCGAGAGCTTCTATTGATTCTACTAAATCTAAAATGCGCTCCACAACGCTGAAACTTTTCCTGGTATTCATGGTTTTGGCCAGTTGCTCGGCTATCCTCACAACAACTCTTGATCCTAACGACTTCTCCACGTTCGAGTGCAAGCCGGATCTGACCTGGCAAGAGGTGAGAGTTTTTGTTCGGTTTTTTTGGAACTTTAGCAGCTCTTTGTCGGTTTTTGCGGATTTTATAGTGCGGTTAATTGTCAAGTTTGGGCTATATTAAAATCTGATTTTTCAGGAAGGCCGGCTGCAGCGATATTGCGCGCCAAATCGAGCCTGGGATGCGGCTCATAACATTACCTGGTGATTAGGATTTTTCGCCATTTTCTATATATTCTTACATCGATAAACCACTACAAAGCACGACAATTTATCGAAGATGCGGAAAAGTAAACTTCATGAATGTGGGCGTGTTCCATGGCAATTTTTACAGGAAAAAAATCTGAATAGAAATCTGTACTTGTTGAACTCGATGGAGTCTCAATTTTTCCAAATCCATCGGTGTGCACATTTATTCCACCACCATCCTCTGTACACATATATACAAAAAAAAAATGAAAAATGGCATGGTGCGGGGAAAGAGTCGATCAGTGGGAGGGGAATACATCGAGTAGATGAAGGAGAACGCTAGCAGAACAGCGACGTCAGGGTGCTGACGGCGCCGCCGAGTTCGTTGGTGACGAGCTTGACCGCCTTGGCGATCTTCTTCGGGAGAACTTCTAGTAGCCATTGGTCCATCGACGGGTTGGGCGAGCTTTCCGTCGAGTCTCCAAGTTTCCGAAGGGCTACCTGAAAGCGATTTTACCGTCGTAATCGTTTCGCTTTCCAAATGCCCACATCGATACGCTGGCTTCGTGCGTCACGGGTCAGCTTGACCTTCTTGACGACGGGGGTGTAGCCGGGGTGCGTGTAGAGAACCTTGAAATGATGCGTTGATTCCAACGAGTTCAAAGAGTTCACCTCGTACTCCCCAATGTTTAGCAGCCGCCAATATTCACCGCCTTCAAACGAAGTCACCGATTTCGCTTGTTCATCTACACGGATCAGGGTACCCGGAAGGGGTTCGTTCGTCTCCTCATCGTAGACGCGACCGGAAATTGCGCTAAAAGAAGTCACTTTTCGTGCTTTTCGAGTCCCATGAGAACCCACTGTTGCGCCGCGTGGATGTAGTGCAGGAGGGCGTAGCGGTTCTCGATCCATAAACGGCGTAGGTCTGATTTTGGCGAGTCTTTGACGCAGTTCGTCTCCACCGTCACCTCGAAGCCGTTCGTGTGCAGGTAGATCCAGTCCTGCGGGTTTATTTGTAGTATGTAGTACGGAAATACCTGCATGCCACCGCTGACAATGTACCAGTAGGCGCCGTTGATGATGCCGCGCTTCGGGTCGGCGGGGTGTTCCTGGTCCTCGGTGACGCAGCGTGGACCCTGAATTTTTTGAGTTTTGAAGTGAACTCGAAAAGAACCGTAGTTCTCTTAAACCTCACCGGTTTCCACATCCGCTCGTGCGCACGCGCGTACGTGTAGGAGAGGCGGACGAAGAGGGCATTGTCGGGAGATGGGTTATAGCGACTGCCCGACTGGATCACGTCCGAGTCGTCCCACGGGTAGTTGACCAGCGCGGTTCCTGAGAACGTGATTTACTTCAGAACGTAAACAAAGCCCTACCTCCATGGAAATTCGCCGACAAGACGAACGGGATCTCCTGCGACCAGCGCATGACCGCCAATGTTTCGGGCTCCGGGGCAGGCCTTGGCTTGAGCGGGAACCTGAAGCAGAATCCATCGAGTTCGCCAGACGAGTGCTGCCAACCTTGAAGGGAAGTTCCGGTTCAGGTCGACGTCATGCGCGTTTGTGCGACCACGACGCACCGGGTCTTTGCGCAGTGACTGTTCCCAACCGTCCGGGTTCATTGATGGCATCAGATGGATTCTGAAGCGGGTGGCAAGTATACCAGAATGTTCGTCTTGCTCTGGCGAGTATTTTGGGATACTTAACAGCGCTGCAAGAACACGGATAACCGAGATACAGTAGGCGAGGGCAGGCTGAGGGAATCTGCAGTTAAGCCGAGCATCCTCATGACGAACCTTGTCCGATCGAGCATCTGCCCAATCCACGGGTTCCGCTCGGCCTCATTGAGCAGCGTCCAGGCGAGCCAGAGCATCAAGTTCAGGCACGTCGTCTGAATTCAGTATTTTTGGAACCTAAATCTCTTCCAACCTCATCACCATGCATGTTGGCGACGTACTTGACTTCCGGGACGCCGAATGTGTGGACTTTTGGGTTGCGCGAGATGGCGAGCACCCATAATTCACGTCCCTCCACGGAACGGCCGATCGAGTAGAGGTGGGTGAGTTTTGGGAACGCGTTGGCCATGTCCTGCAAGCAGGAGATGAACCAGACGAACAGTAGCTAAGGCACGAGGAGCTTGACGCCGCCACCAAGAATTGACCTGCAAATTTTTGACCATCTCCTCGTAGTTGTAGTGCTTGTAATTCGGGATTTCCGGCAACGATCCGACGAGCTTCTCCATGTCCTCCATCGAACGGAATTCGCCTTCGCCGGTGAACTTGTCGATAATGGCCTGTAGGAATTGAAATTACCTAAAAACCAGTCCAAGACCCACATCTTCCTCCTTAAAATAATTCAAGTCAATATCAGTGGCAATTAGGGAATTCGAGTAGAAGGCGACGACGACGAAAACGAAGACCAAAAACCGGGAACCGACCATGTCGGCTGGCTGGCCGGCAAGGAGTGCCAATTTCTGCTCTGGGGGGTTTGACGATTTTGAGAATTATGCTAATTTATCAGTAGTGTCGGTAATTTTTTTTGACTCGTGAATTTTTGTGTGATTACTGATCCTGATGAGTGCATTTTCCTGATTATAAATTCTAGATTAGGTAGATTCCACCAAATAAACCACTCTATAAAGTTCTACTTTCTCTTATTATTCGGCATTGTGCGAGTGCTGCCAAAAATACATACGCTATTAACCATGGTCCAAGGATTTTTAACTTCTGTACGCGAAAATTTTTTAACCTTTTTCCGTGCCATCTGTTTTCACTGATCCATAATAATTATACCTCTCCTCGCTTCGGCGCAGCTCGATAAGGCTATCGCTGATAAGGCAGGAGATTTTTTGAGGCCGCCTGAATTCTGTTGCGACAAAATTTTCCTGTGGAAATCAGATTGATTGGCCCGAAATGGGCTTTCGCCATTTTCTTCGGTTTTTAACTTGCTTTTGGACCATTTATTTTACGTTATTTGAACCTGACTTTTTAGTTATACATTTCTCGTAGGTGAACGCCATTCAGATGATCCTCGCTTTTATGTTTTCTCTACTTGCAATCCTCTAAAAATGATGTACATTTTGAGCAAAGAACCATCAGTCGCGCAGAAGATCATGATGCTGAAGTGCTTCAACTGTGAGCTTTGCAAGCAACCTTTCGATTCCGCAGAGGGCATGCCCCGAACGCCCGTTCTGAAAAAAGGTCTGACCGGGATTACCTGCGCAAGCTGCAGAGGCAACGAAGGAACCATTATTACGGCTTGGGGGCTGATTGATCTCCTCAATGAAGCATGGCTCGTGAAGACGCAAGATGGATACATAGTTTGCGGTCAAGTTGAGCTTCCTACGTGCCCCGAGTGTAGCCATGTTTTTACAGCCCAACTGAAATGGTGCCCTGTACTATTGCCTTGCGGACATATTTGTTGCAAAGAATGTTTCAAAAAAAACACCGATCATGTATGTGCTCAGTGCGCGCAGACGTGTAATAGCAAGCAGGCAAGATGGCAGAGCGTCCCGTTGCTGAAACTGATCAACGAGTCAGCCCGCAAATGGCTGGAAAAGTTCGAATCAAATTTAAAGAGCCTCGATGTTCTACCGGAAGCGGATCAGATAAAATGTGGCCATTGCGCGAAAGCAAAAACCTCCGATCGTATGTTCCGCTGTTTTCATTGTTCATTGACAATTTGCGGATTTTGCGCTGCGGAACATCATCAAAAACATGACTACCAGAACCTCTCAAGATGCCAGGAATTTACTGACGATGAACGGCTAGAGAGGGGGCTAGCAATCATCCTAAAGTGCTTTAATTGCCCGACGTGTCACAAGCCGTTCGATGCAAAAGTTGGTCTTCCGAATACACCTTTGAACAGAGTAGGATATGTCGTGCAGTGTGAAGCATGCGTCCAATTACCAATAGACTATGTCCCCCAATTAGGGTTGATGGAGATATTGGACAAGTCATCTATGAAGAAGATTGATCAGGGATATCTATGTGTACAGGCTCCGACGATCCCCAAATGTCCTGGCTGTAAAAAAGACTTTAGCCCGCACGCGACTTGGCCTTGCAGCCTTGGCTGTGGGCATTTGCTTTGCGGAATTTGCCGAAAGAGTGGTACCAATGACTCCAACTGTAGTACATGCCAAGAGGCCTATAGTCCCCTAAAATTTTTTTACAATGAATCGCTGCTAAAATTTTTTGACGAGCTAGCCCAGCGATGGACCATCAATTACGAAGAGGACAGGAATGCAGAAGTCAAGACCGCCGTCGCCAGACCCGCCATCCCCATCAGCTGCGACAATTGCGCGACAAAACAATCAATCGAGCGTCTCTACCATTGCAAAAATTGTGCAGAGACTACTTGTGGAAGTTGTTACGTGGAGCATCATATGAATCATGACTTCGAGAAGCTCTATGTGACAAAACTCAGGGAACTGTCGACAACTCTCGATAAGCGCTTGGAAATTGGCTTCAGCGGGCTGCAAGGCATTGTCAACGATCTGCATGCAGAAGTGAAGAAGAGAATGAATGCGTTGTTGCAGGCCGCTAATAAGCATGGAAGTATGGTAAATGGCCAACCCACATACAACCATGGACAAGATATAGCGGCAGATATTCAGCAAATGATCGCCGGATTCGAGCGTCGATGTGAAGGGTATTTCCCGCTAATTCGCGGCTTCAGCGATAAACTGGTGGATTGGAAAGAAGAACTTGAAGCCAAGCAAGCCCAACTTGAACGCCAGCGTCTGGGGGTACCAGGGCAGTGATGATATGTTTCCAGACGCCAATTTTCATTTTTCTTATTGTACGCTGACAGTGTTGATATGTATTGTTTCAATATTCATTCACTTTTTGGATTTTTCGCGTGATTACGTCTAGGAAAGTTGTAATTTTTTTAATGCGGATCCGACCTAAATCAAATGTAATCCCTTCCAATAACTTAACTATTTAGCGTTTGAAAACTGTTTAGTATTGAACAAATTACAGTAGCGGCCAACAGTTTGTACCGACCTTGCCTCGCATTCTAAAATTTGCCCCAGAATACTATTGCTCCAAAATTCTATTGTTTTGGGAATTATATCTTCTAAGGCTTTATTTTATAATGCCAAAATCCCTATGCAATTTTAGACTATATTTGGCTATAAAAGTCGATTCATAACGAGAGGGCGAAAAGAGGTTAGGTCAAAAGTTTGTACCGACCATCTTTCAAAATTCGATAAAAGGCTAAATAATGTATGTTGCGGAGGCGCCTGTGAGCGCCCGCGCCCTTTTCCCTTGGCTCCCCGGTCCCTCGCCTATCCAGTGCCCTTTCCACCGTAACGGGGTCTCTCTCCCCCCATGGGCCTGCGATGGCATTTATTCCCCAGTTCAGTTCTAATTTCCTCCTCCTCTTGCCGCCAGGTTGCTCACCGAATAAACAGTCTTTCGAACTGTTCGTCCCGCGCTGCCACACTCTACGCAAGACACAACAACTGGCGAGCAGGATCACGAACTCACGCAACAACAAGGAAACCCCCAAGCCAAGAAGCAGCCGCTCAAGCCGCCGCCCGGTCAAGGAAAAGTTGGTCAAGCAGATGGTGATCAAGCGCAAGGACAAGAAGCTCTACATGGCAAGAAGCGGCGTCATCCCGTGGAGGATTCGATTAAAAGGGAAGTATTTTTACCCCTATCTGGCCTTCGCACTTTTTATGTGCTCGGATCGTGCGGGCATGCCCGTCGACAAGAAGGACCAAGTCGAAGCGCGCCGTCTTCGCCTCAAGTGCAACGAAGGAAGGAAGGATGTCGCCACCAAGGACGACAGGAAAAGCAGAAAAGGTCGCGACGAAAGGGTCATCATGAGGCATCCGGCTGCCCCTCGCCCGCTCGAACTCCGTCAAGACCGGCCGCGAAACAACTTCAAAAGAAGAACGGTTATGTCCTCACCCACAAAGGACTGGATTCGCTTGCAAAGAGGTTAGGCTTGGAGATTGTCCCTCCCATATCCCCGGAGGATAAATCGGACAGGGTATGCCCCCACCCGCAGCATCCAAAACTTCGATGGATCCGCGCCAGAAAGGAATTCGGACCGCTGGACGATGGCCATCGATCGCACGAGGAGCGCCACGAGCCCCGGCGAACAAAAAGCGACAACATCAAGTCGACAAAGCCCGGATCGCCACAACCAAGAGCAGCCGGCCGATGGGTTCCACCTCTACGGAAGAGGTCCATCGCAAAGACCGAGTGTTTGCAACAGCTCGGCGGACGGAGCGCGCACATCGAGCAGCCCGTCGACATGAAGCCCAACATCAAGCTCATCATTCTTGCAAAGAGGGAAGGAAGTCGTGCCGTAAATCGCCGCCTTCCTTGGTCAAGCATCGCCGGACGTTCTGAAGGAAGGAAGGAAGGAAGGATGACTAAGCCCTACGCTCGCCAATTATTAAAGGAAAAAGCAAATAAGTTTTCACTTATTTTACGTTGTGACTTGATCCCTCGTTTGTGCTAGTACGCAGTTGTATTTCCTTTCGGTGTCTCCTCCTCCTATCCACATTTCTTTTCGTTGTACAGGGGGAGGTGTTGCGGAGGCGCCTGTGAGCGCCCGCGCCCTTTTCCCTTGGCTCCCCGGTCCCTCGCCTATCCAGTGCCCTTTCCACCGTAACGGGGTCTCTCTCCCCCCATGGGCCTGCGATGGCATTTATTCCCCAGTTCAGTTCTAATTTCCTCCTCCTCTTGCCGCCAGGTTGCTCACCGAATAAACAGTCTTTCGAACTGTTCGTCCCGCGCTGTCACACATCTACTCAAGACACAACAATGTAGTTTAGGTTTCAATTCTGCTACTGACGGATATTATTTGCCAGTAGCTGCCGTTTTGCATTCATAGAACAGCCCCAAAAACTCCAGGGAAATTTTTGAAAAATTCGATTTTAATATGGGAAATGTGGTTTTACGACGATACCGGCTGAAAACTGCAGTTAATTTGCAATTTCTATATACGATCGGAAACAGCATCCGAAAACACACATTTTCATATACATCTTAAAAGGCAATCCCCCGAGGCGGAGGAGTTACGCATTTAATAAGCGGATCCGCGCGGAAAAGTACCGATTTACTATGAAAACCGTCGCTTGCAAACTTTACCGAAGGGTAACCCAGTGAGACCCCAACTTCTCGAAAGCTTTTTACCATGGGAATGTGTGTTTTTTCTATGCTCTTTCAGATGGCTTGAAAAAATCCACAGTAATATTGCATATTCGAATCTTACGGTCGAAAAACCACATTTCCCATATTAAAATCGAATTTTTCAAAAATTTCCCTGGAGTTTTTGGGGCTGTTCTATGAATGCAAAACGGCAGCTACTGGCAAATAATATCCGTCAGTAGCAGAATTGAAACCTAAACTACATTATTTAGCCTTTTATCGAATTTTGAAAGATGGTCGGTACAAACTTTTGACCTAACCTCTTTTCGCC